ATATATATATATATATATATATATATATATATATATATATGTGTGTGTGATGCTTACAGAACACCAAACAAATACGATGAAAAAAGAAGCTCACTAAGCATAGCCTTATTAAATTACCAGATATCCAGCAAAAAAGCAGAATTTTAAAAGCAGTCAGAAAAAACCAAAAAATCATATATAAAGGTAAACCAATTAGAATCACAGCAGACTTCTTAACACAAACCCTAAAGGCCAGAAGAGCTTGGAGTGAGGTATTTCAAGCCCTAAGAGCAAATAACTCCCAACCTAGATTAATTTATCCAGCAAAGATGTCCTTCAGAATAGATGAAGAAACAATAATATCCTCATTGTAACATTGTTACAATGCAAGATCCTATTACAATGCAAGATCCTGAAATGAATCTGGATGTCCATCATTTGAAGAGGGGTTAGTCACTCTATAGCAGTTATGATACATATATTCTACAGAATATTATGCATTTACTAAAAAGAATGAATTAGGTCTATAATGCACTAACTTGATGTTCATGGTATAATCTTTAAGGGGAAAAAGTCAGTTGCAGAATAGAGGGTGTGAGTCATTCTACCTTTGTAAAGAAATGAGTATATGCTGTTTACTGTCTGTCTCTTCACACTGGGATATACATTTGATGGGGAGGTTGCCTATTTTGTTTAGTGCTATGCTTAAATCTTTGCCTAGAACAGTATCTGACACATCGTAGGTGCTCATGTCATTTTATTCAATGAATTCATAATTGCCTATTTTTGTAGGAGCAAGAAGGTGAAAGGGGCCATTCTTGGCTGTTACTTGTAGTTACTTCTGGGGAAAAGGACTATTGGAAGGGGAGGGTAGATAATTAATATTTTCTTCATACTTTTTTTACTTATTAACAATAAACATAAGGTTTTATAATGTAAAAACTCTTTAAAAATTGTTACAGAGGAAAAAGGAAGATAAGCTATAAATGTCATCATATGGAGAGACATTCAACATTTTAGTCACATACACATACACGAAAAGAGAAGAGACAAAACCAGATGGAGTTGTTTGCAGGACAGAGAAGGCTGTGGCTTAGGGGACTGAGTAGGTGTTATTTCCTTCTCTACATTCCACTACATTCATAGGTACTGACTTTTGCATCCATGTAAAAAGATGTATGAATTGAAAATTATTCTTTTTAGTACCAAATATGAGTCTATTCACCACTTGGTATCTGTAACTATTTGCGTTTTATTTATACGCATGAAAAACTCTCAAGTGGCTGCCTTCGCTCACGTGGCTGCTCTCTGTTACTTGGGACTGCTTCTACTCAGCCACCAATACCAGTGCTTGGAATTCTCAGAATACACACACCTTTGGTGAAGAGGCTTCAAGCATGTTGAATTAGTTACTTGGTACTGGAAAAATTCTAGGGCTGTGCCATAACCCAGTCTGATGTAAGCTCCTCGATTGCTGCCATCTTCATAATAATTAGAAGCAGAAAATACAGTAATAACCTGATTAAAGAAAAAGATTGTCAGGTTCATGAAGTTAGTTTTCAAAAGGTCATACAATAAGGTCATAAATGGCTCAATTCTTAAAAAAGCAAAAATCAAACAAAGTTCTTATTCCCTGCAAATTATCCAAGTCTTACTATTTCTTAAGATTCCATTGGAGGAAGACAAAAGTTTCTACTCAGTGTCTCCAGCACTACAGACTCCTAGCCACCTATGCAATATCCCCAATGCATGGCCCTGGACTCCTATATACAATTTTATTGTCAGATCTTGGAGTCCTCTGTAATATTTGCCTTTTCAAATTTTACTTTTCCAAGGAATGAATTCTCTATTTTCTTACCTTGTAATATTTGAGCATTCAAAATAAAACTTTTCTGATATCTCAGTCTTTTTATTTGAGCTGAGTGATTTAGAGGGTTCAGGGGTCCTGAAAATCAGTACTTTAAGGGAAGATAAATATGGGCTGGAACAAAAGTCCATGACCACAGACTTGGGAAGGACTGAGCTTTGGGGCCATAGTTGAATATGGAAAGACAATACTTGTTGGTGACAAGGAACCTGGCTTAGGCTCAGTTCTGTCCTAATGAACAAGTCACTTCAGACAAGCCACTGCTATTTTCTATTTTCTTATTACAAAGAAATCCTAACTACTATTTGCCTTATTCATCTTGCAATGTTATATAAACCTAAAACAAAGTTAAGAAAAACAATCAACATAGAAATGCCACAAAATTTGCTATTCATTGTTATGTACTGTTGTTGACTACAGAAAAAGAGACCTCCTAGGACAACTGGGGACAGGAACCACTTCCCGAGTCTCCACCTCTTCTAGCTTTGTCAACATCACTGAAAGAGCACAACACACACCCTTTTAGTGGTGGTAGTTAAACTGACTGCAGCAGGCAGCTTGCTGGAGATTGCTTATTCAACCAAATGAAGGAAAGAGAGGTTTTGTTTGCTTGTTTGATTTTGTTTTCTGCCCTGCACAAGGAGTGTGCAAAAAGTAGAAGAGAGCAAACTGGAGTCACTGCTGCCTTTTATATACTTTGTGAGGAAAAGCACATCCACAATCCCACTGTATAGGTGAGTTGCCTTACAACTAGTAAAGGATGTAGCTCCATGTGTCAGAATTTCTGTTTCTGGGATTAGTGAAGAGCAGGGAAATAAACCAAATATCTCTAAGGGTGTGGGACAGTGTGGCCCCTTCAGACAACCTATGTGGATCCTCCAGTCTCTGGCTTCTGTTTGATGCTAGGGAAGACATCTTCCCATAGGCTTCAAGTCAGACATACTTTGTGAAGAGGCCATGTTTGGGGGAAGGATGTCTGGGAGAATGTCACCAACAATGCTAGCTTACCTTCCCATCATGGCAGATTTCATACCCTTCAGGCCTACATTCATGAGATCTGATGATCCTCTTCAAGTGGTATTTATTAAGAATATTGGTAGTAATGTCTGGTCCAAAATAGCAGCCCCCTCCTCGGCCTGTGTTTGGGAAACAGCCTTTTGTGCCTCTGGGGTCACTCCACAGAATGTCAATAATCTAGAAACAACAAACCAGATTAGGCTGCTATTTACAAGGGAGAATACATCTCTTTAGAGTCCTGCTTATCTGCCTGAAATATTAATCTAAGGTATCCCAAAGGCTATTTTTTATTCTTCCCTCAAAATTGTTTCATTCTCATCCCTCCATGCATCCTTTCCAGAATATTTTAATGCTCACTTCCAGCCCTATCCCTTTCTGCACAATGACCAAGTTAGCAATAACTGTAACCAAGGTAGTAATACTTAGTAACTTGAAAGAATCAGCCCTTGCCTTTAAAAATCATAACTGTCTCACAACTTTTGAGTGTATGAAGTTCTCTGTCATGTTCAGAGGAGAAAGCAGGTCCTCATAAGGAACACAGAGTAGGTGTCCTAGTATGTTCAAAAAGATTAGGTAGATGTCCCCGCTGTGGAGTGGACCCAGGTTTTCGTCCTGTTGAGCGCACAGCCTGAGGAAGCTCTTACTCTTCCCCATTACAAACAGAGAAAACAGTTCATGTGAAGACATCTCTGCCTCTTCTTCATCTTTTGCCCCCAAAATAAGGACTTTCTCAGCTTCAGTAACATGTTTCCCCAGGGATTGCATTCTATCAGCTGTTCTCCTAAATCCATACTATTAGTATAAATATTTCCTTCTGAGGCTGGAAGAGGCAAATGCAGGTCACATAACAGCCAGGACTGAAGACCTAAATTTCTAAGAATATTTTTCATAGAAAATTGGAAGCTCCTTCTTAATGGCTCTGATCTATATATGTTCCTTTATATAAACTTCTCCTACGACCTCAAAGAGCAGCACTAAAAGCTATCTTTGTCATTAAAAATAGTGAGAACCTTGAGAACCCCTCGGAGTCTCACTCTTGAAATCTTTCAAATCAGGCAATTGGGCCAGTTGACTTATAAAGTACCTCAAAGTCCTAATAGCCCATGATTCTAAAAGTTGTTATTTTATTTTTATTTTATTACTTTTATTACTTGTGCTGAGGATGGACTCCAGGGCCTCATGCATGCTAGGCAAGTGCTCTACCACTGATCAACAGCCCAGCCCCTCTACCTCCACATGTTTCTTTTGAGGGCATGAAAAAGGATGCATTTGAAGTTGTGTAGTTATTCTAGTGGGTTCAAGTCAGGTCTTGAGAACCCTAAATGTTGCTTCACTAGACCTGACTATATACCCGTTTACATGTCTGATATTGAAGGGGAGCTAAAGGTGAGTTGAAGAGAACAGAACTAGCAAGAGAACCACCCTGGAATGATCAGCACCTGGTCAGAACTAGAGAAGCCCTGCACGAGGAACAGCATAATAGCAGGTGCAGAGCTCAGGAGTTTTCTCCCTCCCCTCTGAATTTCAACAATGGCACAACCGTATCCTACAAGTAAACAAATTGCAACCCCTTTACTTTTCTGGTGTTTATGACAAAAATAACACTTGCGTTTTGTATTTGGGGGATTTGATTTGACCTGTGGTGTAATGAAGAAGGAAACATGGATCAAAAAGAGTTGTGTTTTATTAGGAGGGGATTAAGTTTTCGATTTCTACATTGGATATAAATCATTTATAGCCAAAATTACCCCTGGAAAACCTCTTAAATTACCTTAAGGTAAACTATACATGGTTTTATATATGCAACCCTGTACAATAATATGGATATGTAAATGTTTTAAATATGTGATAATGGACATTATATAATAAAGAATATACATGAAAATAAAATCTCACAGCATTTTCCTTTTTTCTCCCTCTTTGCCATATGTAATAGTTAAATTTACTTAAATTAAATGTACATATAATGGAATTCTGTTGAACTAGAATAAGCACTGGCCAAGGAGTTACCTCAAGTAATTATCTAAATCATCGTAGGCAAATCACTTTATCTATTAGGGCTTATTGTTACTGAAGAAATGAGGGAGATACTGTATATCTAACTCTCATTTTACTTTGATTCAAAGTCATAAGGGATAATGTTTTTTAAGAAGTGAGCATCTTCATAATACATTCTGTGAGTTCTGCATTTCTTTCTTTTGTCTGGAAATGATTCACTTGTCTAGGTTTACCAAGGTTGTGGCTGTAACATAGATTTAATTCTGGAACTCACGAAAAATTCTATAAAGGACTCTTTGTTGGCAAAATTAATTCTTCCATAGAAACTATCTCTTTTGCTCAACAACAACCTATGCTCTGAAATGCAAGAGGTTTTGGGTGGTAACTGCATGGAAGATTAAGTATTTGTGACATTCCTTTCTAACAATTTTCAAACCAATATGTGTTAACAGTTTTACTGAGCTGCAGCTTTTATATGACCATATTGAGCTCCTCAATATTCTATTCCCAGCACCACAATAAAATTTTTTTTAAATCTCCTTAGTCTAAAATAAATCTAGACTACAACAAGAGTCCACCTCACACAACTAGGAGGACTACAGTCAAAAGAAGAGACAGAGCAAGGAGTAAAGCTCAGGGGTAGAGCACAGTGCCTAGCACATGGGAGGCCCTAGGTTCAATGGTTCAATCCCCAACCCTCCCCAAAGGACACACAATAACAACCTCTGAAAGAAAATAGGTAAGTTGGAACTCATATATTGTTGGTGGGAATTTAAAATGGTATGGCCACTTGGGAAAACAGTTTGAAATTCTCTCAAATGTTTAACTTTGGAGTTACCTTATCATCCAGAAATTCTACTCCTAAGTATATACCCAAAAGAAATGAAAAGGTATGTGCACACAAAAACTTGTACATAAATGTTCACAGTGGTATTTTCATAATAGCAAAATATGGGAACAAAACAACCCAAATGTCCTTCAACTAATGAATGAATAAACATAATATGGTCTATCCATACAGTGGAATACTATTCAGCAAGAAAAAGAAATAAAGCCAGACATTTTGTATGTGTCCATTTCAGTAACGTGTTTAGAATAGGCAAATCTATAAAAATAGAAAGTATGTAAGCAGTTGCCTACGGCTGGTTTGGAGCAGGGGTGATGAGGATGGGGAATGACTGCTACTAGGTACAGGATTACTTTTTTTGATGGCAAAAACATTCCAAAATTAGATTCTGGTGATACCTGTAAATAAACCAAAAACTACTGAACTGTAGGCTTTAAATAGATGAGTTATACAGGACATGAATTATATCTCAATAAAGGTGTAAAAAATATAGTAATGAATTCAGAGGGAACAATATGGTCTGCTTAAAAAGGTAAGTCACTTTTTATCTATATATTGTAAAGGACAACATCATCTATGCTGGTGTCCTCATTGCTACTCTGCTGAACACTTTGATTACCTACCTGCTCCCATTCTTTCTTTGATAACTGTTCAGAAGAAACATCTTTTGGTGTGATTATCCCAGACATGATGATTTCACCTACTTTCATTTTCTCTGGCTCAGTGGAGTTTCGTGACGCTGGAGGTAGCAGCACAGATTTCATCTACAAAACAAATCCGTGTTTCAGACAAACTCACTGCTTATCGTACTGCATGCAGACATTTCAGTACCAGCCAGAGTTCTGTCGATATTGTTGTGCATCACCCCAGTCCATCTCACCCACCTCCTATGTCTCATCAACCCATCCATGTCTGTAAAGTAGGCCTGTTAAATTGTTTGCACATCTTCTCAACTAGAGGTACTACCCTACAGGGAGAGAACTGCATTCGCGTTTCTAAGGGATCCCAGATGCACACATGTAGGTGCTAGGCATGTTCTAAGGTATTACTGCAGGAAATGGAAGATGTTAAGTGGAGGGAAAGCTAGTTTTCTTTGAGCTTTTGTCTAAACCTGGGGCTTGGAGTTCACAAACATCTCTTAAAAGGATAGCTGCTTTCATTTTGTTGTGTTTTCTAGGAAAAATGAGGGAAAAGTATATCTGTGTTTAGGAAAATTCTTAAAGGGGACATAGGTTGAAAACTTTGGAAGCCCTTCAACCTAAATGCAGTATAGTTCTCAACCTGAGCAATCAACAACTGATTGTGTTCTCTAATCCTAGTAGCAGAGCTTCTGTGTTTCTTTGGAAAATAAAATGCCTTTCTGACAGCATGTCAACTATTACAATCCCCCTGCATTCTCCCACACAGCCCGAGCCTGTAATTTTATACTTATTTCTTTATAGCACTACCCCTTCACACAAAACAATGTTAAACTATACTTCTATATGGTGGCTATAGTTCAATGATGGGCAATACTCTGTGGCAGGCACTTAGTTTCTTCCATAAACTACAGTGTGTATGAAATCTTGCCTTTATTTTTCAAAAATAAAATGAAATCTTATTCTGAAGTCTTGTCTCATTCAGCTGGTAGAAATTGAATCTCAGTTGTTATTAACTAGTTCATAGCCTACCTTCCCTGTTTTCCTTCAGTAAATGTCCTCAGGTTTTATGCAGAATAGAATATTCTAGGAGAACCCTCTGGACCTAGATCCACACAGTTCTTTTCTGATAAGCTCATTGGGCAAGGCTACATGGTCCCGTAAACATGCATTGCTATGTAGTTTTGAAGAGCATTTAGGATGGGGATACTTCACCCCAGCTCCCGCACCACACCACCACTTTCTCTTGGGGGGTCCAACTGGCTAATCCTTTCCCATACCCTCTGCTAGGGAGTTTGAAGAACACTAAACCAGAATCTTAGTCTTGTAGAATCTTCCTTTTCTACCCCTCTGACCTGCTCACTTTACAAAATGCCTTTAATGAACCCAGAAGGGAGGTTGCCATCAGGTTTCCCAAATACTACCACTACCCTATTAAAAAAACATACCATGCTCACAGGTGTAAGCCAGGAAGTATGGTCACTCTGACAGCTGGAAGGTCTTATGGGATGGGAAAGTGGGGGTTAATAAATTTGACTTAAAAGTCTACTTTTGTATCTCAGCTGAAAGTTCCAGAAAGTCAAACCTAATACTTTCATTACAATTCAATTATATTTATTTAATATAAATATGTACTGCCAGCTCAACTTCAATCTAGGTGCGGTAGAAGACACAAACAATATACAAGTCAAATTTCTGTCTTTAAAACCGTTCTTATGAACAGGTGGAACAGTGATCCCTGATGAGGGGTGAAATTTGGGGTATCCTGGGAAAATTACTGGCCCAAAAACTTCTTCCATGATCTGTCTTGGTGACTAAAAATCAGACCTCAGATCCAAGAAACAGAAAAAGAAGAGAGAGCTGGAAAAACAAGCTATAGGTTTGGTATTTACTATATGCTACTTTCTTCATCTAGGTTATTATATTTAATATTTCCAATAATGCAGTATTGTAGGTATTTTTATTAGTATATGTTTGTGATACATAATAATTACATTCATTGTGGGGACTTGGTACATATACATATTACATCTTAATCATTTTTACTTCCCCTTCCTCCTCTCCTGGCCTTCCCATCATCCCAACCCCATTTCCCTTCCCATCTCTACAAAGTCTACCTCTTTCTTGTCATCTCTCTCTTATTTTGCTCTCTAAATTATTTATATTTTGTGTTTCTCATATAAGAGAATCCGTGAGATATTTAATTTTCCAGGTCTGATTTATTTGACTTTGCATTATGGCCTCAAGATGTATCCATTTTCCTATAAATGACTCAAATTTATCCTTCTGTATGGCTCAGTAGTGCAGTAGGTATTTTTATCTTTAACTTATAAGTAAAGAAACTGAGGCTTATAAAGCTTTAGTATCTTGCCCAATCACCCAGCCAGGAAGTGGCAGAGACAGTATATAAACCTAGCTAGATCTGTTTGATATCAGATCTTCACAGTCTTTACTATGTCAAGGTAGCTCTCAACTTCAGAGACACGTTCTCATAATCTCAAATAACCTTTGATAGAGCTGGCTGTTCAGGCTAACCTCAGGAAAGTACAAGTTTTTAATGTGAGAAATTGGTATGGCTGCCATGGCTAATTAGCACTATATCGCAGGGCAGGTGGTAGTGGAGTGTAGCATTCATGCCATGTGCTTGCCAACATTTGACTGACAAAAACATCATGTTCCCTTGCTCTTGGCTAGAATAATATACACTCACTGTGTTAAAACGACTATCTCATTTTGATCAAAATGTCTTACTGGCTTGACATTCACTGATAGCATGAGAAAGGATGCCTTAAACTTAGGATGGCCTTAATTTTTATTATAACTGGGATTTTTTTTTTTTAGTAGAAGGAAGCACTATTAACAATTACACCAGAACAACAGGCATAAACCAGGAAGTACAGGCATCAGGTGGTGAGGTGGAGGAAGGAGGGACATAAAATCATCAAAGATTCAAAAAAGGGGTTGTGAGAAAATTTCTTTTGTCTTAGGTTTGTCCTGCTTCCATCTTAAATCTCTTAGGAGATATTCAACAAATGTCAGGCACTTACTACATCTAAAGCGCTGGGTTTTTATCAGTGAACTGAATAAGCAAGGGAATATAATAAAAAACAGAACCATGATTCCTTATATAGTTTTGGTAACTTATAAATTATAGGATATATACAAGGGGCTTGAGAGCAAAAAAGGGGGATCTGACTTAGTCTGGAGATTGTAGTAAGCTGAAATTGAAAGGATTAGATGACAGCAGCAATATTATTCACATGTGTAGAGGCTCAAAGTGTGACAGGGATCACATTTTTTTACTCTTATCAGATTCAATTCCAGCTCTAGGCCCCCATGTGCCCAGATTAGTAGGAAGTTGACTGTCAGTCCTGAGGGGTAATGGCTTAGGTTTCCCACTAGGACCATATACCATCATCTGGCTCCATATGCCCAAATGGCACCCACTGTGTCCCTAACTTGGGGCCTTTCCATCTTGGCTTGGCTCTGATAAAGGAAGACAAGTCTAATTACTCTGTAAGGCCCATCCAAAGATTCCTTTACTAAGTGTGAACTCTACAGGTACCATATAACCACTTTCTCAGAAGTTCTATACAAGTTCCTGTTCTGCTTCTTTTGTATTTAATATGCTTATTTAGGGTTAAAATATTTCAAAAATAATTATCCTGGTCCATTTGTAGTATAATGAAAGCATAGCAGTTCAGAAATAAATTGCTATATGATTCTACTTATATGAAGGAGCTAGAGTAGTCAAATTCATAGAGACAGAAAGTGGAATATGGGTTACTGAGTCTGGAGAGAGGAGGAAAATGGGGAGTTATTATTTAATCGGTACAGTTTCAGTCTGGAAAGATAAAGTTTTGTAAATGGATGCTCACAGTGGTGATAGCTGCACAACAATATGAATGCACTTATTGCCACTGACCTATGCACTAAAAGTAGTCACAGTGGTAAATTTTAAGTTATCTATATTTTACCAATGAATTGAGATTTTAGTTTTTTAAATATCAAAATTTTTCACTTTTAGAAGCTTACAATATGCCAACACTTCATTTTTCCACTTTGAACATGAATTTTTTTTTGAACATGAATTTTAAAAAATAAATTCTACATATAGAAGTTACCCATTTAGTTCTTTATCAAGCAATCACAGATTTTCTTAAAACTTACACTAATCATTTCAGTGTTATAATAACCACTAAAGTACAAATCAATTCAAAATAATAAATGAATAGTGGTACATATCACATAATAAATCCCTGAGACAGACTCATGCAAATATCACTACTTACTTTGTTTCTTTCTATGCAGTGAAGTAAATTCAAGTCTGTGGATTCAGCTATCCCACCATGTATGACCAGGATTTTGTTGTCAATGATGGCACCAATTGGGAGCCAGGTGTAGACGTCTTCCAAGGTTTGCAAGATTTTTTTTCCATGTAGCTGTAAATAAGAGCTTATGTAAGTTTTGCTTTTCTGGTAAGTTCAGTTTATTGCATAGTCCTGATGTATGAAAAAAAAGCAATAGTTTTCATGCCACCCAAAGGAAATCAGCCAGGAGCTACTACCCAACTAACATGTATTAATAATGGCTTTTTATTCTGTTTTGTTTTTGCAGTACTGAGGATTGAACCCAGGAGCACTCTACCACTGAGCTACCTCTGCAGCCCTTTTAAATTTTAAGACAAAGTCTTGCTAAGTTTCCCAGGCTGGGCTTGAATTTACAGTCCTCCTGCTTCAGTCTCCCCAGCAGCTGAGAGTACAGGTATGTGCCACCATGCTTAGGTTTTTTTTTAATAACTTTATTATCGAACACACACACATATAAAAATTAAAACCATTCAAAGAAGAACAATAAAAGGGAAAAAAAACTACAATAATATACAGTAGAACTATACAGTAGAACTCAACCAAAACAAAACTGAAAAGCACTTAAACATTTTTCCATATAACTTAAAAAAGCATCTCAAGCATCAACAAGACACCAGAGGATGTGATTTGTTTCAGAAAGATCCCCAACACCAACACTGAACAAATAGTGGTCTGGAAAAAAACTCCAGTTAGCTAGCAGCCTCCACATAAGCCAAGCTTCTCCCTAATTTAAATTTTAATACAGTCATATGACACGCGATGGAAACACAATCCAAGAAATATGTTATTAGCCATTTTATCCGTGTGTATCCTTAATTACACTATCAGTTTCTCACACTAGAGAAAATATTCGGTATCTACACATATGTGTCCTATTTATTTCACTTAAAAGGATGGCCTCAATATGCATCCATTTAGCTATAAATGTCTCTAGTTTCTCATTCTTTATGGCTGAGTAGTACTCAATTTTATTAAAAAACATACACATCTTCTTTATCCAGTTTCCAGTTGATGGGCACTTGGGCTGTTTCCAAGCTTTAGCTATTACGAACGGTGCTGCTATAAACATGGGTGTACATATATGGCTGTGGTATGATTCTTTTAATTCTTTTGGGAAGATACCCAGCAGGGGGATAGCTGGGTCGAATGGGACCTCTAAGTCTAGTTCTTTGAGGGATCTCCATACTGATTTCCACAGTGGTTGCACCAGTCTGCACTCCCACCAACAATGGAGAAGGGTTCCTTTCTCCCCACACCCCCGCCAGCATTTGATATTGGATGATTTCTTAAAAGCAGCCATTCTTTCTGGAGTGAGGTGGAATCTCAGTGTTGTTTTCATCTGCATCTCTCCAATGACCAGCAATGTTGAATATTTTTTCATATATTTATTTGCTTCTTTTACTTCTTTGTCTGAGAAATGTCTGTTCATTTCAGATGCCCATTTTTGAACTGGGTCTTTGAATATGGGGGGTCTGATTTTTTTCAGTTCTTTATATATTCTAGAGAGTAGTCCTTTGTCTAAGGTATAGTTGCTGAAAATTTTTTCCCCCATTGTAGGTTGTCTCTTAGCTCTGTTGGTGGTTTCTCTTGCAGTCCAGAAGCTTTTTAATAAGATAAGATCCCAGTTGTTGATTTTTGTGCAAGTTTCCGTGCCGCTAAGGTTTTGTTCATAAAGTGTTTTCCTATGTCAATGTCTTCAAGAGTTCTACCTAATTTATCTTCCAGCAAGTTTAGTGTTTCTGTTTTAATTTTTAGATCTTTAATCCACTTCAATCTTATTTTAGTGCATGGTTATAGACATAGGTCTAGTTTTAATCTTTGGCAGGTTGAAATTCAATTTTTCCAACACCATTTATTAAATAGGCTATCATTCCTCCAATGAGGGTAGTTGGCTCCTTTGTCAAAGATGAGGTGGGTGAGTATGTCTGGAGTTGTTTCTGCATCTTGTAATCTATTCCACTCATCCTCGGGTCTGTTTCTTTGGCAGTACCATGCTGTTTTTATCACAGAAGCTTTGTAGTATAGTTTCAAGTTGGGGATTGTAATACCCCCAGCCATGCCTCTGTTGGCTAGAACTGCTTTTGCTATTCTAGGTCTCTTCTGGTTCCAAATGAATTTTTGGATTGTTTTCTCTAGTTCTGTGAAATATATTGTTGGAATTTCAATCGGCATTGCATTAAACCTATATAATAGTTTTGGAAGTATGGCCTTTTTCACTATATTGGTTCTTCCTATCCAGGAACAAGGGATGCCTTTCCATTTTCTTATATCCTCCTCAATCTCCTTTTTCAAAGTGCTATAATTTTCAGTGTAGAAGTCTTTTGCTTCCTTTGTTCACGCTTAGCTTTTTATTCTGTAGTTTTGATACTTTGACATCTTGGGGCCTTGCCAAACTGGAGGAGAGATTGCCCCTTCCAGGGCTAATTCCTAAAGATAGTAAATGACTTTCATATGCAAACCAACTAATCAAGAGCAGCACACACCTCCAAGACTTCTTTTATTGGGCTTTCACACTCAGAGCCAATAACTCTTGCCCTAACCATTCCAGGGCCAAGTACTAGACAACTAGGGCAAATCCTTATGCCCCAGAGCAGAGTGACATTATTCAAACTAGTCAATCTTAAACTTTGTGTTTGTTTGGTACCAGGGATCAAACTCAGGACCTTGCACTTGCGAGGCAGGCGGCAGAACCACTGAGCTAAATCCCCACTATTCAATCTTAAACTTGATTGCACTGAGATGCCTTGTCCATTCCCTTACAAGAGAACCACAAAAAAGGCACCTGTCTATGCTTTCCCCTGGCTCCCTCTGCCTTCTAACTGATTCTGGTACTTCCTTTCCTATGTGGTCCCCCCTGTGTGGCATCCAGTGTCTCTTGTTTCTAGGCAACTGTGAATAAAAACCTTCCTTCCTGACAGTCATTTTTACGTCTGCCTGTTTTACCATGCCTGAATAAAACAAATCCTAGGCGGATACCTTTAAAGCAATGGAATACGTTCTAGCTACACTGGAATGGACACAAAAATTACAATAAAAAAAACTTACTTTAGTATATAAAGAAAATATGAGACCCTATCATTGCAAAGGCTTCCTGCTGTGCTTCTATTTTATTAGTATGGATTCTGACTAGTTGAACCCATCACCTTTCCTAAACAACAATTCAGGCTTTGTTGGCTCTTTTTTCTATGTATCAACACCAGAGAACGCACCCAAAACGTATATACCTTACCTTATATTTATTCAAAATTTCTTTTGTGAAGCCATACCTGGAAAAAAAAAAACAGGATTTAAACTATTAATTGTTAGTAACTCCTACTTATGAGTCATGAAAAAAAGGGAGCCCTTGACATGTCACTATCACCAGTACCAGGAACTCAAGAAACTAGACTTCAGTTGCAACTATTACTTACCAAAGTCTTTGCTAGGCATGGTGGGAAAGAACAAAAGCAGCCAATAGCATCCTTCTTACTCCGAAGGAGCTTACAGCTTAATTGGGGAAAGAAAACAGATTTTCATGAAATAATCAGAAGACACAAGAAAGCTGTGGTAGGCGCAGGTTCTGTAAAGGCCGCAAGTTTTTTAAGAGGTGTGCTGTGTGCTGGAGGAAGCTGTGTGGCAAAAGGCTTTTCATTCAGATAGAATTTCTCAGATGTCCTATGTTTTATAGTAAACAATCAAAAAAAAAGACTAAACAAAGATAATGACATAGGTCATGAAATGAACTTATTGAGAGTTTTAATTGTAAGTACTGGGGAATTTTAATGCCTCGCTAGCTAAGGGAGATTTAATGATACAGTTTTTTTTCAATTACTTTTCCTTGCTTTAGGATGATAATATGTATTCTTTTTTTTTTTTTTTTTTTTTTTTTTTTTGGTACCGGGGATCGAACTCGGCTTCTTGGGCTTGCACAGCTGGCAGTGAGACCACTTAGCTAAATCCCCGGCCCATAATATGTATTCTTAATAAGCAACACAGTAAAGTAGGAACACAGAACACCCCAAGTTTTCATGTCCTTTCAGGTTTCTACAATGTAACATTATGTTTTCTGTGATGAAGACCCCTGTGCTCACCAAAAGTATATGTGTTGTCAAATAAATTTGCACCTTGCAGCTTCTTTCTCTGAAACACTAAACACAGTTAACTATACCATTCCTCTGGAAAATGTCTTCTTTTGGATTTTATAACAGTAAAGTAACTTTTGGTTTTCCTCCTACCTTTCTGGCTATTCTGAAGCTCCTTTGCAAATTCTCCTCTACCCCGCCTTAAATGTTGAAACGCCTTTAGATTCTGTCCTAGGCTCTCTCCTCCCTTCACCTTCTCCCTTAGCAATCTCATCCCTGCCCATTCAGGGCTTCAGTTACTGTCTAGTATCAACACCATAGAGCAATACTCCAGGCTGCACTTTGTTTCTGACCTCTGGACACATATACTCAACTGTTTACTGAACAGCACCTCAGATCAGCTTACTCCACATCGAGCTCTGCACTCTCCTTCAGAATGATGTTGTTATACCCCTAACCTCAAGACAGGAACTTGAAGATCATCCTCGATTCCTTCCTCCTTCCAGGCCCTCATATCAAGTTACCGACCCTTCAGTCACCATTGCCTAACGTCCTCTTGAATCTATTTCTTTGTATCTCCATTGCCACTGCACTATTATAAGTGAGAATCTATTATCTATCTCTTTAACTGCTTCCTAACTGACTCACTGGATTACTCTTGTCCTCTCCATACAACTCTTCATGCTACATTTTAAAAACACAAATTATATGATATTCTTTAATGATATTACCTTGCCCATAGAAGTCCAAATTCTTTGTACCATTCAACCCTTTCTTATATCTTTAGCACTATTGGTACCTTCTTATCTCTCATTCTATACTTCTGTATTCTTGGAATTCTTTGAAGTCTAAAATGTCTTGTTCCAAGCTCTAAGTAAGTGATTCCCTCACTGCGCAACAACTCTTTCCCATACTTCTCTCTCGACTGCCTAATTTGCCCTTCAGGTCCTAGGCTAGTCCAATTCTTGTATGGGAAAACTTTCTATCACCCCTCATACAGGGTTGGATGATAAATGTGATAAGTTACAAAACTTATCACATTTGAAAACTTGTTCAACACGGTGTTCAACATCACTGGTCATTTGAGAGATGCAAATGAAAACAACCCTGAGATTCCACCTCACCCCAGAAAGAATGGCTGCTATCATGAAATCAACCAATGACAAATGCTGGCGGGGCTGTGGGGAAAGAGGAATCCTGCTATATATAAACTCTTTTTCAAATGGGAAGGGGAACAAGAGATGGTGGGAGTGGGGAGGGAAGGAAGGGCAAAAGGATTTAAAGAAAAAAAGAATTGAAGAAAAAATTGAAATTGATCTTTTGCAAATGGGGAAGGGAAGAAGGGTTGGAGGGAAAGGAAGAGAACAGGACAATAAAAGAATTAAGGGCCGGGGATTTAGCTCAGTGGTTCCGCTGCCTGCCTCGCAAGCACAAGGACCTGAGTTCCATCCCCAGTACCAAAAAAGAAAAAAGAAAAAGAAAAGAATTAAGATGTGTTACGTACATGTACAAATTCCCCATGATGAATGTGATCAGTATGTACTGCAAACATGTACTAATATTTTTAAAAAATAAACTATGTGGGCAGGGGCTGTGTGTCTTTCATTAACTTTTTCTGGTTTTGGTTTTTTGAGACAGTGTTTCATTATGTAGTCCGTGCTGGCCTCCAATGTGGTATCCTCCTGCCTCAGCTTCCCAAGTGTTGAATTATAGGCATGTGCCACCACACCTGGCTTCTTTCTTTAACTATTAAAGACACTAGATAAGTATAATTGGCTAGCTTAAAAAAATGAAAGAATAAATGGCATGCCCAAATAGAAGTATTGAGCTATTTTATATTAATGGGCTTCTGATAATAATTATGGGACTTTTTAAATTCATAGTCTCAGCATTTGCTTTCTCACACATTGAGAATTAGAATGGAAACTCTGTTCCCAGGGTAGGTGTCAAAAGGCCCAAAAGATAAAACTAATTTCAGTTGCTGACCTTTGATCAAGGCACCCAAAATCCCAGGACCAAAGGCATGAAACATGCCATACCTTCTATTGCCCTAGAGCAAATTGATTTCTGTTTTTCTTAAAGTGAGAAATGAAGAGGAGGAGGAGGAGAAAGAAGAGAAAAAGCACATTTGTCACCAACCATGCCTTTCTGAAAAAATTCTTAAGCCATTTAACCAATCTTTATTCCTCAAATCTCTAGTGAGTCAGGTAGTTGAAATGCTATGTTACAGTTATTCTCAAAACTCCTTATGAACAACTGTGCCAGAAGCAAATACCCGGTCATAAAAAATACACACATCAGTGGACAACATGGTTCTCATTTCTGAGACAACATTTGAAGCAAGCCAGAAGAGTAGCAACAGAACAATTCCATCTAAGTCTGTGTGTAGAACCTATCATTCTCCCAAAACTAGCTTAACACACCTACCCAATGTTGGCCTAGGAGCAACAGAAAGAACACTGAAAAAGGGAAAAGGAAGAGCAAGACTGGAAGAAAAGAGAAGAAGGGGGCTTCAGAGAAAATGATACTCAGTTGAAGACTAGGGTGGTGAAAAGGGGTAAGAATTGAGGTCTCCTTGAGATTCCCCTCATTTCTCCTTCTCTACCCTCACCTCTATCTGCTGGGAACTGAAAAAGGCAGCATTTTGCAGAATGGGGAATAAAAGAAGAAATCTGAAGGCTGAGGTTACCTCATATTCATCATAAAATCTTCATGGTTCCCTCTGTTCAAGTGTATGTCCTTGGGGTAGACAAGAAAACTTACAAGCAGGATCATTAGGACCTCTATGGAATTTCTTCCTCTATCTACAAAATCACCATTAAAAAGATATGGGTTGTTCCCTGAAGGGAGACCATTCTGTGGAAGAAGAAAAAGAAAAACAACCAGTTAAAAGAACGTTCCTAAAAAGTAAGGCTTCGTACATAATGTTCCTGTGGATTTGAAGAAGAGACGCCAAGTCAGTTCTTTCGCTGAAAAATCTGCTCTCTTGGTTGAGCCAGTCTCCTTCTTTTAGGGCAGGCAGCTCCTGCAAGGGACCTGCAAGTAAAAGATTCACTTGGAAAAGCAAGATCCCAGGGAGGAAAGGGCTTGGTATTCTGTCCATCGTCTACTATGAGTTTTCTCTAAAAGGAGTTGATCTTTGTGCTATCAAAAATGCCTGCTCTCATCTCTTCCTTTTCTCCTGAAGAGGGAAACTTCTATCCAAGAAGAATACTAAACTAAGAAGCAGAAATTGTTTGCTCCCAGGGGCCCAATATTTAACTTCTCTCGGTTGCAATTCCCTCAATTTGCAAGCAAAAGGAAGATGATACCATATCCCTGTGGATCTCCTGTGAGCATGGACATGAAAGTATCCAGGCAAGAGGAAGGTGTACATGAGGTGTGAGCAAGGCAGATACTCCAGTGGACACAGATGCAACCACTCCTGGTGGCTACAGCTGGCACATATTCTGGCTGATTGCTGGCTGGGCCATAATAGTTGTTAGACATTTTGAATACCACTCCTGAGCATGAGCTATTTTTAAAGGCAATGTTAGCATGAAAAGCAGCTGAGCAGAGGACAAAGGACCGGATTTATAATAGCTATCATTTAGTCCTATATTACAAAATTCTAGAGACAAAAGAAGTATATGTACCATGGTTACATTTTCTGTATCATGCTAAGGATACTGGATATCCTGGAATATATATCCTGATAAGGAAATGGCTGAGTGCATTTCTGTTGCATAGTAAGATAAATCCTGCCTTTAAAAACATATTGTCTTAAAAAATATATTGTCTTAAAAATATATTACAAAGAAAAAAGTAAATTACTCATATATCAAAAAGAAATATTTTCCTTCAAAAATTTATCTTCTGGAAATATTATGAATATTACTATTAATTAATATTTAATATATATTCTAGTTATATCAATCCTTTTCAAACTATTTTAAATTTATTTGTTAGATTTCAAACTACATAAGGTTTTATTACTTTATACTTATCCTCCTGTTCACATACATTTTAAATTGTTCATAGCAATATAATGAAAAGAGTTGAAAACTATAACACAAGTTATAACACATAATTTAGGGATTCCAGAAATCATTTATGCAGTGTAATATGTTCTGAAAATAAGTGGAAACAAACAAGCAGTGGCAGAGTGTAATAAGAAGACTAATATTCTAGTCTAGCTCCACTTACTACTCAGGTGTTCTTGGACCAGTTATTTAATCTTTTCATTTATAAAATGGGGATGATGATTTTTTTTCATTAAGTTTACTGGTACATTTTAGGTATACAATACAGTTACATTCATCATTGGGATCTTGT